GTTCTGTCACTATCTGTGTGACTTTAGTTCTGATACTTAAAGCATATGAGTCTCTGTTTCCTCATCTGTAAAAAGGTGATGGTAATCATCAGGTCATAAATGTCACCCAGTCTCAAAGGTCAGTAAGGGAGGAGATACAGCGCACATGGGGACACGCAGTTAAGGATGAAGAAGAGTGTGACCCAGGCCCAGGCTCATCTAAGTCCAGATGTGGGTTCCACCCTTTCCCACGACGTGACTTTGTATGAGTCCCTGAACTGCTATGAATGTCAGGTTCCTCATCTTTAAAACGGGGGAAATACTTACTACTTTGTGGTGTTGGTTTGAGGATTGCAGTTACTGGGAAATAGAGTGAGATGAACACTGGAGATTAAAGAGAACTTGGAAGGCCTCCTTACCCTACCACCATCTTCCTCACCCCCCATGGAAACCTTCTTATTGGCTGTGACTGTGTTTAAAGAGCCTCAGTGACAGGGACTGCTATCTGTACAAGGTCCTCCGTTTCACTGTTAGATCACCTTCAGTGTAAGAAGAATTTTCCTTATATACAGCTAAAAGCTGTCTCAGTGTAATTTCCACATATGCTCTGTGGGAAAAAATACAGTGATTTTTCTTTTTGTATTAAAGATTTTTATTTTGAGGTAACTGTAGATTCCCATGCAGTTGTAAGAAATAATGCAGAGAGATCCCTTGTACCATTGCCTGCTTTTTCCCAGTGGCAACTTCTTGCAAAACCACACTGCAGTATCACAAACAGGTTTTTGACATGGACCACAGAGAGAGGCAGAGTATTCCACCACCTCTAGCATCTCTCATATGTTGCCTTTTTATAGCCACACCCACTTCCTTTTTACCACTTCGTTAACCCCTGGCAACCACTATTTATTCTCTATTTTTTATAATTTGGTCATGTCAAGGATGTTGTGTATAGATGGAGTTATATATATAACATGTTGTGTCCTTGGCTTTTTTTCACTCAGCACAGTTCTCTGGAGATTCATCCTGGTTATGTTGTTGCATTTGTTAGCAGTTTGTTCCTTTTAAATTCCTTAGTAATGTTTCATGTTGTGGATGTGCTGCAAATTGTTTACTGTTCACCCATGGCAGATCACCTGGGTTGTTACCAGTTTGGGGCTGTTATAGGTTTTTGTACAGATTTTATACAGGTTGTTGTTATAACTATAAGTCTAATGTCTTCAATCTCTGGAATAAATATGTAGGAGTGCAAGTGCTGCATCATGTGGTGGTTATAAGGGCTTCCTTGGTGACTCAGTGGTAAAGAATCTGCCTGCAGTGCAGGAGACATGGGCCCCATCCCTGGGTTGGGAAGATCCCCTGGAGGAGTGCTTGGTAACCTACTCTAGGATCCTTGCCTGGAGAATCCCGTGGACAGCGGAGCCTAGCAGGCTACAGCCCATGGGGTTGCAAAGAGTCGGACACGACTGAAGCGGTTTATCATGCACGCTCACATAGTAGTTATGAGTTACGTTTTTAAAGGAATGTCTAGGCTGCTTTGAGTGACTGCAACATTTTATATTTTCACCAGCACTGAGTGAATGATTCAGTGACTCAAATCCCTGCCAGCATTTTCTGTGGTCGCAGTTTTTTTTATTTTAGCTATTGTGATACGTAAGTAACGCTATCGTGGTTTTAATTCAGATTTCCTTAATTCCTAGTGATGTAACATGGCTTGCTTGACATCTGTGTGTCTTTGACAAAATGGGTCATTGTGTCTTTTGCTCAGATTCTAATTGTATTTTTTTCTTTTTAATTGTTAAGTTTTGAGTGTTCTTTTTATGTTCTTGAAACTGGTCCTTTCTTGGATATGTGGTTTTCATAGCTATCCTTCTGCTTCATAGCTTATCTTTTTTGTCATTTTAGCGGAATCTTCGGTGTTGCAGAAGTTTGACATTTTGAGGATATCAGATTTGTCAGTTTTCCCTTTTATGGATAGCATTTTTGGTATCAGTTTCCCAGGTGGTGCAGTGCTAAAGAATCCACCTGCCAAAGCAGGTGGCTCGATCCCTGGGTTGAGAAGATTCACTGGAGAAGGAAATGGCAACCCTCTCCAGTGTTCTTGCTTGGGAAATCCCATGGACAGAGGAGCCTGGCGGGCTACAGTTCATAGAGTCACAAAGAGTTGGACATGACTAAGCACACATAGGTACACTTTTGGTGTCAAGTCTAAGAAATCTTTGTTTACCCTGGAGCCTGAGGATTTCCTCCTATCTTTTTCTTCTTTATGTTTTATAATTTTGTATTTTGCATATAAGTCCCAAAGTGACAGAAGTAGCATAAAAAAGGCCTGAAACAAGAAATCACATCTCTCACACCTAGGCCAGTTATTTTTTCCCCTCCATGTTTTATAATTCAAGGATTTCAGTGAGTATTTTTCAGAAATTGGCATTTGCTGCTCTCATTTTAGCTGTAAAATGGGATAATAACACAATAAACTCAAATCATGGTAGATTAAAAAAATTAATTAGGGTTAATTGAGATAGTGCACTTGAAAAAACATGTTACACTACAAAGTACTTTCTGTTCAAATAGTGGTTATTATTGTAAGCTTGGCTAGGTCTGTGAATGCTAACAGGCAGCTGTGTGTGCTTGCTGCTTTCTATTCATGGGAAATGTGTTTGTTTATATCATAGTATAGTATCTGTTTTTCCTTTTAGTGCCCATGTGGCCAAATTTTGAACTGCCATTTTAATAAGACTCAAACATATTTGAGAGGGTGGTTAGACTTAACGGTTTCCATGAAGTTGTTTTAATAGTTGTTTTTCAACAGATGGACAGCTTGCATTTGGCCTCATTTCTGTGACAGGGTGATGATTGAAGTTTTCAACAGATGGCATATGAATACTTGGGGAAACACCCTCCCAATATTAATTGTTGTAAAAAAAGACTTTTAGCGTGCCAGGGAAATAATAGTCTGTATTCCCAAGTCCTTTGCCTATGCTATTGTAATTATAATTTAGATGATTTGGAAGTTTCCCTTTCTGGCACTGGGGTTTATTTTGTAAATGAGTATCTACGTTAGAATGAGAGATGCCGAGGAATACTCTGTTGTCAATTAGATGTTCAACATGAATATAGCATGAAATCCTTTTTGATTATCAATGAATGTACATAACTTCCTTTTACTGAGTCATTCTGCTTCAGTGCTATACACAGGAAATATAATGTTCCATAAAAATCACCCATCAGAGACTTATATGTTCTTTCTTAAAAATACTGTCTTCAAAGGAAAAAAATCACCAAACTAAGAATTTTCGGACATACACATCAATATGATGAACCCCCCCCAAACTTAAAAATTGTCTCCTTTCTGCCTTAACTACTTTACACTGTTTTAGGATTCAAAAATGAAGAATCAGACAGTATGCAGGGCAGTCTGGAGGGTGTTTGTGGTTGTCACAGTAACAAGGGGCATTTGCTGATATTTAGTGGGTATGTTGCTGAACCTGAATTTGGGTCCTCTTGCTTGACCTGCGACAAAGTCAATCTCCTGAGACTGGGGTGTGGTGAAGGAAAGTACAGCATTCACTGCGTGGTGCCAAGTAAGAAGAATGGGCAGTTCATGCTGAAAAGAGCTGAACTCCCTAATGTCTTTCAGAGAAGGGTGTTTAAAGGCAAGGTGAGGGAGGGGGCCACAGGCTGTGTGATCAGCTTATGCTCAATTCTTATATTGGATAGTATCCATGTGAAGTTTCAAAGATGATTAACCTTGTCATTTCAACCATTTGAGAGTCTATATGCTTGCGGTCAGTAGTTTTCACTTGTAAAAACAATTTAGGAATGTGTCAGATCTTTGTGTCTTTCAGGGAACTAGGAGTTTGGTGACTCGACCATGTGGCTGATTTATAGTCTAAATTGTTATCAGTTTCCCCACTCAACAGCTATTCTTTGTTTCTACCTTTTCACATTTCCTAATCATTAGCTCTTCTTTTAAATTCATTAACTCTTTTTTTTTTTGAATAGAAGTTATAACAAAAAAGTATTTGTGGGGAACACCCCGAAGCTTAGCTATTTAATTGAGACAGTTGTTGTGTGCCAACTACTTCTTTACTTATTTTAAATTTATTTTTAGTTGAAGGATATTTGCCTTACAGTGTTGTGTTGGTTTATGCCTTACGCCTAATCATTAACTCTTGAGCCAGCCTCTTGAGACTCAGGGGAGGTCTGGGAGACTAAAGCGAAAGACTTCTACTTCAAAGGATAGCGACACAGGGAATTGTATATGGTTTCAGGCGGAGGCAAGTGTGCCTAGGTCTCTATAGCACAGTTCAGCACAAGGAAGAAAGGTCCTGTGTCTTACAGTATGCCTGGATAGCAGACTGGACACTCAGCTGAGCCTGGAACTTGTGTCTGCTTAAAACACAGAGTAAGTTTTGCAAGACAAGGTTTTTGCTTTTTTTTTTTTTCTTGCACAGAGTGTTAGTGACTACCCAAACCTCTTCTTTTGGATTTTGCTATGTTGCTATATGAAAGGCTGAACGACTCTGATCTTCTACTTCTAAACCCTGATTTATATTATGTTTATTATAAGTACTTTATTATATTTTTGTGTATTCATGAACTGAGCATTTACATAGTAAAACAAATATTATTACAAATTTACTTCCCCTTTCTATTCCAAATAGGGCATCATATTAATTTTTGAAATCTTGTGTATAGGTAAATTACATTATCCATGAATTTCTGGATTTAAAGAGAGAATTATGAAATGCTTATTATAACAAAGGAGCCCTGGGGTTAATCAGTATGACAAGGATTGCTGTAGAAAATTAAGCAATAGTAGACAAATTCTTTCTCCACTTGCCTGTATGTGCACACATAATTCTGTGTTGGAATCATTCAAAGGACAGTGATGTGAGTCTAAATATTTAATAAGGTATGCAATCCCAATAAAGTCTGTATTGTTATGTTTCTATAGAAGCCTTGAACTGATTTTCTTTTGGCGAGTCATATCAACTAGATCTTGGTGTCTGTCATTGCAGATGGCATTGAATGATTGCTTTAGTTTGAGCTATCCTGGCAATCCTCAGCCAGGGGATTTGATTGAAGTGTTTCGTCCTGGTTATCAACATTGGGCACTGTACTTGGGTGATGGGTATGTTATCAACATAGCACCTCTAGGTAAGTTTTGCTTTCTGAAGTTCCTGGGAGGTTTTTAGCTTTCTTGCTACAAGAAGTAATCATGAACAAAAATCATAAAATAAAACAAACCAGAAATACAATGCACAAAGTAGGTAAATCCAGCTGATCTAGGTTTTTGGAAGGATATTCTAAGACATCCTGGAGTGTGAAGTCAAGTAGGCCTTAGGAAGCATTACTGTGAACAAAGCTAGTGGAGGTGATGGAATTCCAGCTGAGCTTTTTCAAATCTTAAAAGATGATAGTGTGAAAGTGCTGCACTCAATATGCTGGCAAATTTGGAAAACTCAGCAATGGCCACAGGACTGGAAAAATTAAGTTTTCATTCCAATCCCAAAGAAGGGCAATGCCCAAGAGTGTTCAAACTACCATACAATTCATTCATTTCACATGCTAGCAAGATTATGCTGAAATCCTTCAAGCTAGGCTTCAGCAGTAAGTGAACTAAGCACTTCCAGATATACAGCTGGATTTAGAAAAGGCAGAGGAAGCAGAGATCAAATTGCTAACATCCATTGGATCATAGAGAAAGCAAGGGAATTCTAGAAAAACATCTACTTCTGCTTCATTGACTACACTAGAGCCTTTGACTGTGGACCACAACAAACTGGAAAATTCTTAAAGAAATGGGAATGCTAGACCACCTTACCTATCTCCTGAGAAGCCTGTATGCTGTGTAAGTCAAGAAGCGGTGGTCCGAACTGGACATGCAACAATGGACTGGTTCAGAACTGGAAAAGGAGCACATCAAGGCTGTAGATTGTCATCCTGCTTATTTAACTTACATGCAGAGTGCATCATGTGAAATACTCGAAGATAGTGAAGGACAGGGAAGGCTGGTGTGCTGTAAAAAAAAAGTTGGACACGAGTTAGTGACTGGACAACAATGAACAATTCTAAGGCTAAAGTGGCATTGAAGAAATCACAAAAGCCAAGTGACATTAAGGTTTTAAACTTATGGATTAAAAACAATTAAAAAGTAAATAATCAACTGGGGAAAATATTTGCCACAAATGTGACAAGAGTCAGTGTCTTTATGTATAATACAAACAGATTATTTCAATCACTTAACATCTATTTATAGATTTTTCTTGTATGTGCCAAATATTATTCAAATGCTAGGGATACATAAGCCAATCGCTCCACAGTGGAACTTAGATTCTAGTGGACAGAGAGAGAGAGAGACAGAGAGAAAGGAGACAGCCTGAGAGAGGGAGTATGAACAGAATACAGAAAGCAGTGTTAGATTAGAGCTGAGTGATATGGAGAAAAGAAATCATAGAAGCAGGATAGGAAGTGCTGGGGAGTTGTAGCTGCTGCAGTTTGAAATTAGCTGGTCAGGAAAATCTCATGAGAAAGTAACATTTGAGACAACTTGAAAGAGGTGAGGAAACCCGGCACATGATATTTGGGGCAAGAGTTTCTTCATCTGAGGGAATAGTGAATACTCAAATCCCAACAAACAAATGGGTAAAAGATTGTGAACAGTTTGTAGAAGGTGAAACTCCAATACCCGTTTTTAAAGCATTCAGCTTTTCAGTCATCTAGGAATTATAAAATGATAGATTTTATGCCTCTCACATTAGCAGAATTTAAAAAAATGAAAATCAGTGTTGATAAAGGTATAATGAAATGAACACAGGATATTGTTGATAGAAATACAAGTTGATAAAATCATTCCCCAAAACAGTTTAGCAAGATGTTTTAAGAGTCTTGAGCTTCCCTGGTGGCTGGGTGGTAAAGAATCTGCCTAATGCAGGAACTGCAGGAGACATGGTTTTGATCCCTGGGTCGGGAATATCCCGTGGAGGAGAGCATGGCCACCCACTCCAGTCTTCTTGCCTGGAGAACTCCATGGACAGAGGAGCCTGGCGGGCTACAGTCCATGGGATTGCAGAGTTGGACATGACTAAAGTGACTTGGCATGTACACATGTTAAGAGTCTTAAAAGAGTTTCCATGCTCTGACCCTGTAATTTTACCTCTATGAATCTATTCTTGGGGAATATTTTTAGAGAACTTATTTAGTATTTGTGTATGAAAGTGTTCACTGCTATCTCATTTATAATGGTTTAAGAAAAGGACAATGGGAAAAAAATAGAGAAAAGAAATAAGTGTTGATTTTTTATGGTGGGTAAAAAAATTAGACAATGGATTAATAAGATTGAAAAGGTAATGATTAAATGAATTATGATTTAGCCACAGATATTAGGATTCTGTGTTTGATAGAACTTTTTAGTTGCAAGTAACATAAATTAGTTTAGACAAAAGGCAAATTCATTGCTTCACTGAAGGAAACTACAGGAAGGGTAGAGATGATGCTGGTTTCAGGGATACCTGGATCTAGAAGTTTAAACACTATCAAAACTCTTTGTCCCACATCTGCATTCTTTTTGTATATATTTTATTTATTTTCCCAGGCTATGTCTAAGAAGCTGAATTGATGACCGTAGGCATCCTTAGGCTCACATCCTTATAGGCTGGTGACCTGCAGGAGAGAGAGACTTCCTGTCTGCTGAAGTTAGAAAAATCATGGAGAATGACTCTCGATTGTCTGGTGTGGGTCACCTGTCCATTACTGAACCATCACTATGTCCCAGAATAGGACAGTATGACTGGCTTAGACAGAGTCTTTTCTAGAAAGAAAGAAGTAGTGATAAGATGAGGTGCTTAGCAGACTGAAACAGTGGCCACTTTAACAGCTGAAAGTCATTTCTAGATATCTTTAATAGCATGAAAGATGGTCTTGTATGATAACCATTGGCAAATTACAGATTAAAAATGCAATGTGTAATATGGTACCAAGTTTGTAAAGAATTCATATATACCCACATACATGTTAATGCAAACACATAAATGTGTATTTGCAAGTGATAAAGACAGTATAAATACATTAAAATAATAATGATAGTTATTTCTGGCAGGACAGCAGGTGATTTATATTTAGTGTTTATGCTGTATTTTTCTGTATGTTCTACATGTTTAGAAATGAGTACAAGCTATTAAGAAAAATGTATGCAAATAACAACTTAGAATATTTCTCCCCTCAAGATACCTTTAAAAAGAAGTGTTTACAGGCTGAAGTTTTACTATCTTGAGAGCTTCTGAGAACTTGTAATGAAGTGATTTTTGCGAGATTTTGAGCTATTTGGCAGTTGTTTTGGAATATTGGCAATGGAAATGGCAAATAAAATGACATTTACGATACAGAGCTATTCATTCTGTGGGGTCTAGTGGTTAATACTAAGGAATTCTTTATATTATCTCTGCAGCTTTCACATTTAGAAAATAACATGAGGCTTTTGCACTGTTTCCTTTTTTTCACGTCTTAAGCTCCATACTAATATGGTTCAAGCACTGAGCTTTGATCCTGTAGACTGAAATTAAATTCCTGTTTCTGTTAACTACTTGTGTGATGTTCCACAAGCCAGTTTCTCTCTCCAAGCTTTGATTTTGTCATCAATAAATTGATTTCTTCAAACTAGTTGATGAGTATTTCTAACTAGGATATATGTGTTCTGTGAACTTGTACTGTGTAAGTACAAGTTGGTATTAATTGTAATTAATTGGTATTAATGTAAGGTATTAATTGAAAATGCTATTCCACTGAAAAGGAGTTCAAAGGAGTGCAAAAAAAGAGGAGTAGGAAAAACAGTGTGGTTTTAGTCATTATTGAAAGGAAAAGTGTCTAAACATTGGTTATATAGCAGTCCTTCATCTCGTGGTTTACTTGAACAATGGCCAAACATAGCAATGTTGGGCAGACAGAGAGGGCCTAGGGCCTGGCCTTAAAGCTGAACACTAAGGAATCACTTTTCCAGTCTCAGATGACAACGATGGCAAGTCAGGATACAGAGATTTTGGGTTCTTTAGGCAAATGCTTACCAATAGAGGCAGTAAGATGGAGTGGTGGGGCACAGGGCATTGTAACAGGTGGGTGGAGCACAGCAAAGGACCACATAGAGGTGGATAGTGCTTACTGCATTAGGTTTAGTTTCAGGACTTAGTTTCTTGGCTAAAGGAACTAGCGAAATAAAGACAGGGCCCCAGCTGATCCCAGCTGACTCTGTCAAATGCGTAGGGTCCCCTGCAGATTTCAAAGTGAAGCCTGATTAAAACAACTGTGAAAGTAGAGAGGTGGCTCTAAGAAGTGCAGCTCAGTTGTAAGAGGAGAGCATCAATCTAAACATTCTGCTGCTAAGCCCAAGCGTACTAGTTTAGAAGGGTTCTAATGCCAAAAAACAGGGGCTTTATAGAAAAAGGGGGCAGTGATCTTCTCTGTACTATGTTAGAAACATATGCCAAGATCCCTAATAATAATACTAATTGATAGAGAACTTATTCCTCAAGAATGAGTAGATTTTTCACACTCAGTTTTTCTATTTATTGTTGTTTAGTTGCTCAGTCATGTCCAACGCTTTTGCAACCCCATGGACTATAGCCCACCAGGCTCCTCTGTCAATGGGATTTCCCAGGCAAGAATACTGGAGTGGGTTGCCATGCCCTGCTCCAGGGGATCTTCCCGACCCAGGGATCGAGCTCTCATCTCTTATGTCTCCTGCATTGACAGGCAGATTCTTTACTGCTGAACCACCAGGGAAGCCCAATGGGGAGATACAAATTTTCAAAAAGTTTTCTTATATTCTCACTCTTACAGTACTGAATAAGTGTTATTGATAAATTAGAGAATGAGTGTTGATGGTTAGTAAGATTAAGTGGTTTCTGGTTTGAGGATAAGTTAGGATGGCATTGGAATTCACTGGGCTGGATTGCTGTGTTTTGCTAACCAGAATTCTCCTTATAGAGGACGGCATTTCCGCATCGTTTACAAGTGCCAAGTCTGTATTCAGCAGAAAGGCCCTGGTGAAGATACAGCTTTTGAAGGATGTTGTTGGAAAAGACACATACAGAATAAATAATAAATATGATGATACATACCCCCCTCTCCCTGTTGAAGAAGTTATCCAACGATCAGAGTTTGTTATTGGGCAAGAGGTGGAATATGACATACTTGTCAACAACTGTGAGCATTTTGTGACTTTGCTTCGATACGGAGAAGGAGTTTCAGAGCAGGTGAGTTTTCTTTAGGAGAAATAAAAGTTTTTTAGATTGGGGAGATAATAACTATCCAGTGTTGATCAAGTTTTCAGGCCTCAAACAAATGGAAAAGAACAAGAATATATGAGAACACTGAAGGACAAAGAAGGAAATTGAGTTACCCAGGGTCACTCAGAAAGTTCATGACCAAACAGACTAGAACATTTTGTGTCATGAATCTGGGGCTCGAAGGGACTTGAAGCAGAGTCAAGACCATGGCTTTCTGTCTGTCTTAATGCCCCATGTCCTTCAGTGGTTTTTTTTTTTTTCATTACCCTATGATACAGCAGTTAAATCAGTAACTATATATATTGAAAAGAATGTTGACTTTTTTGAGTGGGAGCTCCTTTGCCAAAAACATAGATGGTAGTACTGAGATTCTTTTCCATTAACTGAAAGAGGCTAACTGACACCATGGATTTGTAAATGTCTTCAATTTCCTTGCAACACTAATTTCAAAGAAATGTTGTGCTTTAAAGTGGATCCTTTGATTCACTGAGCTTTTGGATGATTTTTTAGTGGATTAATCGACTTTATTTTTAAAGTAGCTTATAGTTTTGTTGTTTACCGCCACTGTTCGGTAGTGTAGCAGATTCCTCACTGAAAGCAAGCTTGATTCAGTTGCCCTTTCCCTAGTTACCTTTCCACCAGTTCAACTACATCATTGATATTTTAACCCAAAGATTTATTAAAGTGAATATATAAAGGCTCCCAGTATCTTGAAATGGTGGATCTGTTGTATAAATAAATGTCTATTCTAAGGATTGAAATTATAACTCTGTTCACGAAAGCTTGGAAGAATGGAAAATAGAACATAATGAAAGGATACATTTGTTTTTATTAAGAAATAATTTAATTGGAAGTTCATTTTTACTGGGAAATACATTACTATAATGAACTATACACATATAGCAATAAATTGTTTCTGAACCAAAACACAGAGGATACAGACATAAATATCTGCTCATTTTTGCATTGAAAAGTAGTGGTATAGCTAGGAAATAAAGTTTGTTAATGACAAAGTTATCCACAGTACACAATCAGCAATTTTTTAAAATGTGGCTAAATCAAAAGATATTACAGGTCTCTTTTTGCTCTGACTCTCACTTGTACTCTATCGTCTTTTCACCTTTCATACCCAGATCAAGATCCATGAAAAAGTGGCTATTTTTCAGGAACTAGTAGAACTCCTCTCTGGCAGGTTCTGATGGGTGTAGTAACAGCCTTAAAGACACATCTGAGCTTTGAAATTCTGCTGATCTGAGCTAGAACCCCATATTCACCACTTCTAACCTGGATAACTTTGGACACGTTTATCAGTTTCCTAATCTATCAAAGTTGTTTCATAGATTGTAGGAGATTTTTAAAGTCTTTTAGCATGTTCCATTAAATATTATTCATCCCAATGAAAGATATACTTCCATCAATATTACTTTTTATTTTAGCAATTTTATAGATCTTTGTTGATACTCTTTAGTAATATTCTGTTGATCTAACAGAAACTGCAGCATTTGAATTATTATTTTTATTACTATCAATAATAGTATTAGTACTAATAATAGCTAATATTAGATTTGTTTCTAGGGTCCCTTTAAGGCTCAGGGATCTTGAGCATAGAACAATTTCCTTGGGAAATGGCTGTGTATTTACAGTTCAGTTCAGTCGCTCAGTCATGTCCAACTCTTTGTGACCCCATGAATCGCAGCACGCCAGGCCTCCCTGTCCATCACTAACTCCAGAGCCTACCCAAACTCATGTCCATTGATGGTGATGCCATCCAACCATCTCATCCTCTGTCGTCCCCTTCTCCTCCTGCCCTCAATCTTTATCAGCATCAAGGTCTTTTCAAATGAGTCAGCTCTTTGCATCAGGTGGCCAAAGTATTGGAGTTTCAGCTTCAACATCAGTCCTTCCAATGAACTCCAAGGACTGATCTCCTTTAGGATGAACTGGTTGGATCTCCTTGCAGTCCAAGGGACTCTCAAGAGTCTTCTCCAACACCACAGTTCAAAAGCATCAATCCTTCTGCATTCAGCTTTCTTTATAGTCCAACTCTCACATCCATACATGACTACTGGAAAAACCATAACCTTGACTAGATGGACCTTTGTTGGCAAAGTAATGTCTCTGCTTTTTGATATGCTGTCTAGGTTGGTCATAACTTTCCTTCCAAGCAGTAAGCCTCTTTTAATTTCATGGCTGCAGTCACCATCTGCAGTAATTTTGGAGCCCAAAAAAATAAAGTCTCTCACTGTTTCCACTGTTTCCCCGTCTATTTCCCAGTTAAACAAAAAATGGTAAATGATAAAAAGATTGGAAAGGTGGAAGGATTGTGGGTCCTATCCTTTTCTTTGTACTTTGCTCTATTTTTTGAAAAAACTAATGGACTTTGCTTTTTCGAGTTTTAAGTTCACAGCAACATTGAGCTGGAAGTATATACAGAATTCCCACATATTCTCTACCCCGCCACCCTGACACACACACACACACATCCTTCCCCACTGTTAGCATCCCATAGCAGTGTGGATTATTTGTTATAAAAGATGAGCCAACACTGATACATCATTATCAACCAGAGTTCATACTGAAGGAAACCAGAGTATACCACCCCAAATATGTTACTTTGGCATAAGGATTATTTTGAGCAATTGAGAAGCACTTGAGTGGGAACAGAAAGAAAGAAAGCTCCCTGCCCTCCCCTATTTTTCTAAAAGTAGGGCAGAAATTTTCAAAGGTGTCCCCCCTCCCCACTCTACCAGGAAGAACAAAATGTAATCATCCGGGACAACCCGTGTTTAATATAAGACCCTTAGCAGCCTGGAGAGGGCAATAGAGGAAACTACTTAACAAACTACTTACAGGCTTTTATCTACCATTAGTTTCCTACCTTCCCACCGGTTGTTGCCCTTGGAAGACGAACCACCTTCCCCTCACTTCTCTACAAATTTATTTTTCTTTGGTGAAGATGCTCTATAAGTCTGAATTCTAAGCCACCTCTTTGAGTTACTTCTTCCCTGGGTTTCTCCCATGAGTGTATGAGATGTGCATGTTAACCAACTTCTGTTCATTTTCCTCTTGTTAATTTGTCTTTTATTACAGAGCCTCAGCCAAGAACTTAAGATGGTAAAGAAAGAGTTTTCTTCTCCTCGAATTGTTAACGTTAGGGTTCACTCTGCGTTGTATATTTTGTGTGTTTTGACAAATAGATAATTACATGTATCTGTCATTACAATATCATACAATATCATACAGCCCTGAAAATCTCTATTCTCTGCCTATCATTCATTCCTCCCTCTGCATAAACCTCTGATAATCACTTTTTTTTTTTTACTGCCCCATGTTTTATCTTTCCCAGAATGTCATATAGTTGAAATCATACAAAGCAAAATGCACTTAAAATTCTTCCATGTCTTTTCATTAGATGGTTTGATTCTCATTTTGTTTATCACTGAATAATATTCCATTTTCTGGATGCACTACAGTTTATTTATCCACTAACCTACTAAAGGATATCTTGATTGCTTCCAAGTTGTGGTGATTATGAATAAAGTTGCTAGAAACATTTGTGTGCAGCTTTTTTGTGGATGTAAATTTTTGACTCATTTGGATCAACACCAAGGATTATGATTGCCAGATCATATGGTAAGAGTATGTTTAGTTTTGTTAAAAGAAAAAAAAAAAAAACTGCCAAGCTAGCCTCCCAAGTGGCTATACTATTTTGAATTCCCACCGGTAATGAATGAGAGTTCCTATTGCTCCAGGTATTCTTTAGCATTTGGCATTGTCAGTGTTTTGGAGGTCAGCCATTCTGATAGGTACATAGTGATATCACCATTGTTTTAATTTGCAATTCCTTAAATATGTATGATGTTGACCATCTTTTCATATATTATTTGCTATCTGCATATCATATTTGGTGATGTGTCTAACTCTTGTGCCCATTTTTAATTGGGTTGCTTACTTGTTTTCATATTTTTGAGTTTTAAGAGTTCTTAGCATATTTTGGAAAATAGTCCTTTATCAAATATGTCTTTTGCAAATGTTTTCTTCCAGCCTGTGGCTTGTCTTTATTTTTATGAATTCCTAAAATCAACATTTCTTACTGTTAGAGTCTAAGCAAGTTACTAAAATATGCCTGTCTTTGTGAACTATGGCAGCACCCTTGAATGTGCCCATATGAGCTGACACAGTACACCCTGACTGTGCTTCATGGCAGCACTGTAGCCTTAGAGTCTTGGGGGAAGACAGATTTTGATAACCACTGTAGTTGGCTGTGACCCAGCTTCACTGATACCTGGACCCAGCTGCTTCATTTGTAGCTAACATTTTACTGGGCATGTATAGATCCTCAGAATGAGGTCTTTATCATGCCTGCCCCCCATCCCACACACAACACCTGAAAGCCCTGTATAGGACAAAGTGTGCAGGATAGGATTTGGTGTTCTAAATCAGTCGCGAAGTAAAAGTTCTTGTTGATGCTGGCTCACCACAGACATCCTGGGATTTTTTAATCTTGCAGATCCATCCTGTTACACGTAACTCTAGGGGATTGTCCAAGTTATGTGGGATTTTTCCATTTAGAATGCAACTTGAAAATAAGTGTTTGGGATTTGGGGAACTGCACACTGGAAGTGGTTTATTATAATTGTATCTTGCCTGTGCAGTCTCAGGGAATTTTGATTCAGGATTGACTTGTCTGTCCTCTCCCCAGGTCTCTTAGATATATGAGATTTCTCTCACCTGTTCTGTTTCTAGTGGCTGAAAGACATCCGGTGAGTTAGGAGTGCATCTGGCTGTCCCCCTCCCCCCACAGGATCCTGCAGGTTTTCCCAGGGCTGTCTCCTGCTGCCATTTGACACCTCTGTTTACAGACACCAATTACACCTTCCAATTTTTTGACTGCCTGCCACTTTTCCTATGTCAGACCTCCTTGGGATCTCAGTATCTGCCTGGAATTGCATGAGGTTTGGGCTTGGTTTGCAATCCTTGATCTCTGTCTGATTATTGGTTCTGCCCCTTTTTGGAATTCTGCCAGGTATTTTGTATCTCCCACCCCATTTTTGCTCCCTCTGTGCTCTGTGGGTCGTTCTCTGCTACAGTGAATTCTGCTTGGAAACAATTTAGGTAGCAACTAATTAAGAATTACAAATAAAAGAAATAGCCAACCAACCAAATACATAAAATTAGAATTGTAAACTAAAATAGGATTTTTCAATTGTTTGCCAATGTCATTCTCCCTGGCAACTAGGGATGGTGGCAGAGCAGAGAGTCACAGTTATAGGCCACGTCCCTGCAGACCACAGGATGGTGTAATGAAGTGAAGACTCTTTGTGCTGCTCTTCCTGGCCAGAGCCCTTGCTGCGTGTTCCCCACAGGGAAGCAGTTAGGGAGGGAGCATTATGTTGCATACGGGGGTGGCAGGCTCAGTGGTGGAGGGCTATGGGTTAGACGGAGGACATGCTCCACGGTTAGCTGGGTCAGGTTTTTCAGCATTTGGGCTGGTCCCCAGAGTCGTTTAGGAAAAATGTTTTGCTTTATTTGACAGCCTGATTCTTAACTCTTAGAAAACAACTCTTGTTTTCTAAATACCTGATGACACTGAAGTATCTGAATGTGACCTTTGGGTCATAAAATTGCACTCAAACCCTTGCAGATGGAAGGTAATATTAGTTGAGTGCCATGCAACCATGAATATTCATCAGTTCCCTCATCATGATGATGATTAATACCCTTAAAGCTATAAATGTCTGAACTCCTTTATGGACAATTAAACTTGAGAGTGATTTATTTTTGTTTGTCTACATGAGAAATTAATTTTTGCCATAATAGTTAACATTAGTATTGACTTATCTTGAAGTTTGTTTATTGGAATAGAAAGTGTATCTGCCAAGTAAGAGTATATGGCAGCTCAAATCACATTCCTGAATTATTTTCCTAACAACTTTAATTTAGGGAACACATACACATGCACACACACATGTCCATCCAAATACTGTCATCTTTTTAATAGACTTCTTGAATGAGTACTCCTGCTTTCTTATCTTGTCTACACTCCCTCAACCAATACACACACATACACACACACACACTATTCACCTTTGTATAGACCCAGCCAAATGAGTATGTGCTTAGGAGTAGGGTTGTATAGGGGGAGAACACATGACTAAACTATATCTAAACACCCTTGTGCTATTACCTCCCTTGGGCAAATAACTTTTAACTTCTCAAATTGTATAAAACAGTAATGCTATACTGCCCAGGTGTACCATGATGATTATTAGGAATTGTGGCATAATCAGTTTATAAACTGTCAGAGGCTATAAAAATAGAACTGTATACCTATGTGTGTTTATATCTTTGTCATAATTATAATAATTATAAATTTCATCTTTGTACAAAATTTTAATTTTGCATTCAGCTTTAAGTTCATTGTACATTAAAATGAGTCTCTGATTTAGGAAGCAAGCTAAAGCTGAAGTTTAGGACACTAAAATGCTTTTAGAATAAGATGTGTTTTTGATTCCTTTTTCCACATAGGCCAGCCGAGCGATAAGTACCATTGGGTTTGTGACAGCTGCTGCTGGTGCCTTCTCCTTGCTGGGCTTGTTTCCAAAAAGACTAAGAGCAAAATTCTATTAATTTACTGAAGAGGTATTGGAGCTGAAGGAATTTGTGAGGAAGAAAAGTAACCTGAGATGAATACTTATTTTCAATGCATCATTATTGTTCCAGATTCCAGTGATGGATGGCAGACTCTTTAATAAATTGCCTACTGGTATTATCTCATCATTGAGCCATGGAAATTTTTCTCCCTTAGTCGTGTAGATTCATGTGGTAGCTTGAACAAGAAGCAGTGGCCTTTTGAATGAATCAGCAGCAGATCTTAATATCACATCATTGGTTACCTTTTTTCTTCTATAAATATTGTTTTTCTTTCCCCTGAGGGTAACAATTTAGAGGAAGAACCTTTTATATGAGACCAAAAAAAAAAATGTTAAAAACCCTTAATTGTTTGGATTGGTATCAAAATTCATATTCCTTTTCTGGTGAGAGAAGAAATTTAGAAATAAAGCATTTGGTTAGGCAGCTTAATAATCTTTTATTAATAAACCATCTGAGAGTGGATACTCATCTCCTTGCGCCTGTGTAGGTGTGAGCAGGAGGTGAATGAGAGAAGCAGCTCTTGGTTCCAGTGTTTTGGATCCAATGATTTCCCTGGAAGCAACTCCTTTGTCAGGAGTATGTGACAAGCAGGAATGGGCTGTTGCTTCTACAGAGTTCCATTGTTGCCTTTGGATTTTGAAGTATTTGAAGAGTTTGGCCCTATAAACCTGAGTAAGACATCATTAAACATAGGTTTAAGGTGCCATATTTAGAAAACAATATCCTGTATTACTTTTTATGGCTTTTACTAGAAGTCAAGGAGTGTGGCTCAGACTGTAAAGCAGCTGCCTGCAATACAGGAGAGTTGGGTTTGATCCCTGGGTTGGGAAGCTCCCCTGGAGAATGCAATGGCTACCTACTTCATTATTTTTGCCTGGACAATTCCATGGATGGAGGAACCTGGTGGGCCACAGTCCATGGGGTCCCAAAGAGTTGGACATGACTGAATGACTAACACTTTTACTTTTTCAATCAGGAAGAGACTCATTTTATTCTTGGATTTTATTATGTGTTGGATGAAACAAACTACTTTTTTTTTTTTACAAACTACTTTTTAATACCTTTCCAGTGGAATTCTTGTTGGTAGCAGATGGGGAAAAATGGACGACAGTCTCTCTATCCTGGGATTATATCAGATATTATAACATTACCCTACAAACCACATTGCTAGTCAGTGACATCTTTATTGTTTCACAGCTAAAAGTTTGGCATTAAATAAAGGAAAAGTTTAAGTAAATATGGGGGATTGTGGTGCAGAGAGGGAAACAAAAATATGGTAGATAAAGGTAACAAAACAGCTGCCTCAAAGTCTTTGACTTAGTAAACTGATTTGATTTTACTCCTGGGCCAGAAAGTCTTTACAATCTAATTGTAGGATTAAGAACAATGATAACAGAAAGGGTCAAGTGCTTCCATCAGGGCCCATAGAGACCCTGTCTTTCTTCCTGTTCCCTGACTAATCCCTTCCCTTTCTATGGCACCAATTCTGTTTCCAGATAAACCCCAAAACACACTCTTCCTCCCCTGTTCCTCTGGTAACAGTAAGTGTCTTGTGATAGCATGGTCCAAAATTTTCCTTTCATTTTTATTCTAAATTCAATTTCTTATTCCTATTATGTCCTACTCTCAAGTAACAGTAACATTAAAAAAGAAAAAAAAACGGGCTCTTTCCTAGTATTGTCAAGTCTGGGCAGAACTGGCAGCAGCTGTATGTGTTAAGTCCCCCAGGATATGCTTGCTTTTTGGTAAAGATGACTACAGAGGACAGATCTTAGCCTTGAACAGGAGACCTGGGTGTGGTGGAATTGCCACACTGCCTGTGACGGAGGAAATGGAATTGGCAACACAGAAGATATTTTGAGGATCATTAAATCAAACTTCTGGATAACTCTGGACACGCCCACTTCAGAAGACAATCTTAACAATACTGAGTAATTGTCACAAGTGCACTGTTAAATTCATGGGTTCATTTTTTCACAAGTAGTGTTCAAGGTTCTAGTAATGCTCAGCCTTAAAGGTAAGCACACAGTTAGTCATCAGTTTCCTCCCAAAATGGCCACTCTTGGTGAAGAGCAGCTTCAGCCTGTCCATTTATATGTGGCCCCGTTCATTGTGTTTTTATTGAACATCTTTTTCCAAGCCTAGTAGACATTTCTCTGAGTGTCTTTTTAGTGGATTAGACTAGATTAAATCATAGTGTAGAGACCAAATTTATCATGTCCCATCCCCCCTTCAAAAAGATGTGTGACATAAAGATACCACCTATCAGATACCTAATAGATTGTTGAAGAAACTGAAAGAAGCTAAACATTTATTGAAAAAAGATTAAAAAAATATTTTTATGCTATCTAGATATACTACAGTATCAATTGAATCCTCTCATTCTAAAAGTCAAATTACTAAATAGAGATAATGTCAGCTCAAGGAACCTGAGCTGCCATATGTTTTAGGTTGACATATTTCTTAATCTTTAGCTAAAAATATTTTTGATATTTTGTTCTTTTATTGGTATCCACTAAATTAGACACATTTAAAAATTATCACTCTCCAAGAGCTGTGCATCCAAGAAAAGGTTAAAAAGCAAATATAAGTATAAAATGCTTGTTTTCATTGCTGGCTTGTGTAACAAAGTGTATGGTACTATTTACAGCAATGAATTGCTAGAATGTTGAGACATTTCTTCAGTCCTAAAGATCTCATAATTGTAAAGACATGACTGAATCCACAGATCACAGTACTAGGCATGTAACTGACACTCATGGAATGGGACTGGTTGGCTAATTGCCTATGACTCATTAAAGATCCATTTAATTAGCGAAGTTAGATTTACGGTTACAAGGAAAATGTAGCAGGTAATTTAAAATGTTCAGTAGGAATAAATACCTCTCAAGGTCACAGTGAGGTTGGTATATGTTAAAGCTAATGATGTGCAGAAAGTATTTGTAAAGGATGTACCCTTTCTTGTGGTCCTTAATGTGCACCTAATAATTGATTTAGATTATGAAAAGATGAAATGGAACTTAAGATTGTTTAATATTTTGAGAATTGTCATGCTGTAGATAAAAACATTATGGGTTCCTTCCCTGGGATTGCTTTTTTTCAGATGAGCAATGATGAGTCTAGGCCAACTTTTAGAGCTGGAACTTGAGATTTTTCTTTGTCAGTAAGAAAAAGCAAATAAAGGTACCATACTTCTTAAGAGTGAAAAGTACATTTTAACAGTTTCATTATTTTTGTGATCTAATCTGGAACCTCTAGCTCACTAGCCCCAAAGCAATATACTTTGGGAGATGCCAATTTCAATAGAGTTTGCTTAGCTGTGCCCAAGCCAAGATTATAAACAATTATCAGACACCTCCATCTTTCTCCACTTCCACACTTTAAGAACAGGGATGAATTTTCTGAAGTAAATTTCAATTCTTGTTTCTCTATTAAAACTATATAAAGGACCAAAAAGAAGAATTCTGTGACCTGGATAAAAGATATATGTATAGATGTTCTTTGCAAGTGAATGTAAGATTAAGTAAATGTGTGAAAAGTTATTGAGAGAAGCTTTTTTTAATATATAGATTCATTTATTTCAGTAGATGAAAATAAAAATACATTCGTGAAACTTTCAAAATTGAACTCTCCTTTAATTTTTCTTTCTTCTATTGATGTTCATACTATTAATTTTACTACCATAAAGAGCTTTGCCTTTGAAGCAGGTCACTGCTATGCATTGTGAATAAAATTTGTTAGAAAAAAAATGATACTTTAGAAAATGCATTATTTTTCTTAATGATAGAGGATGAGGTCAAGTAAACATATGTAAAGTCCTTTGTTGCAAGGTTCAATGCACTGAGAAATGCACTTTGAATCTTCAGACGGAGGAAGAAAATAAAAGGGTAGACTATTATCACCTCTCTACAGTGTTTTAGATTCTGGTAAAAGGAGGATGCTATTTAACAATTCTGATTACAATCTGGTCCAGAAATGCTGTTCTGTGGTTTGGCCTCCCAAATTAAGTTTTTCTTTTGGAATCTGCTCAGAGCTTTCATAGCCTTGGTTGATGTAGAATCCATTTCTGCCATCGCCTGAATAATCTGTCCTGTTTGTAGGAGGCCAGCTTGGATCTTTTGCCAGTTTTCTTTGCCAGATCCTATATTGACTTTTAGAATAGATTCCAAGTTCTTTCTTGATCAATAGCCAGAGTGCTCGATTTTGAAGGATGGCATCCTGGAAAATCAGGTGGAAAAGACAAGCAAACCATCACCTATTTTCCCTGGCAGCCAGGTTGCTCATTGCTACCCTGTTCCCCCAGGCCTCCTTTAAATGTGCTTACTATTTATGCTCAGTGGCCACTTCCCCTGGCAGCCCCACGAAGCCTAGCAGCTTCCTGAGTTCATTTCCTTGAGAACTGAGTGAGCTTGTGTTCATAGAAATCTGCCAAAAGCTTACAGTCTTTCATTTCCACAGATTTCCTAGTTTAATTCTGGCAGGAGAGTCACTTAGAATTATTTTACTGCCAGAATGAAATAGCAAAATAATGTACTCAAAATCAAGAAAAGAAAAAAAAAAATCACTGTTACTTGCTCCTTGCTACAAAGAAGGCATCAAGTAATGGTTTGTTGAATGAATGAATGAACTCTAAAAATCAAATGGGTTTTCCTTTCCATTTTTTGTTGTTGTTTAGTCACTAAGTTCTGTCCGACTGTTTTGCAACCCCATGGATTATAGGCTCTGCCAGTCTCCTCTGTCCATGGAATTTCCCAGGCAAGAATGCTGGAGTGGGTTGGTATTTCCTACTCCAGGGATCTTCCCAACCTAGGAATCAAACCCATGTCTCCTGCATTGGCAGGCAGATTCTTTACCACTGAGTCACCAGGGAAGCCCTTTGCTTTCCATTTTGGAGGTTCTCTTCTTTCTACCATTACAAGCACACACAATTTTATGCATTTATAGTAATAGAAGTGATCAAATATTTTATTCCACTT